CCTTGTAAAAATTGTCCATAGGTGTATGGATCACTGCCTGTTTTTAATGAGGCATGTTGACTACTGTTTTTAATTTCATTGTTACATGGCATTCATAGTTTGTATTCTTCCAGGAATGCCTTAAGTCTGTGAGACTTTGGTTATATTCCTCTTGTACTAAAGGAATTAAAGATGATTATGTTTTTCCCTGAGAGATTTCCAGGTTTATTTGCAGCTTTGCCAATGTATAAAACCATGAGTCCGGCCGGGCGCGGTGGCTCACCCCTGTAATCCTACCACTCTGGGAGGCCGAGGCGGGCAGATTGCTCGAGGTCGGGAGTTCGAAACCAGCCTGAGCGAGACCCCGTCTCTACTAAAAATAGAAAGAAATTAATTGACCAACTAAAAGTATATATACAAAAAATTAGCCGGGCATGGTGGTGCATGCCTGTAGTCCCAGCTACTCAGGAGGCTGAGACAGGAGGATCACTTGAGCCCAGGAGTTTGAGGTTGCTGTGAGCTAGGCTGACGCCACGGCACTCACTCTAGCCTGGGCAACAAAAGTGAGACTCTGTCTCAAAAAAAAAAACCAAAAAACCATGAGTCTGACTCCTTTTACCTGCCCAAGTCTTTTTGCCTTTATGCTGATGAAATGATCTGGCCCATGTTTCACTTTCCTTATGCTAACATTCTGTGATGCTTGGGTTACACTGACCTTGCATGTTTTTGTTACTCACTATCTTGTTTGTTTATACAATCTGTTCTGTACTTCCTCTGCTCATGTCTTACTTTCCTATCTACACTAACAGTGGGACTAAATTGTGTACCCCCCTCCAAATTCATATGTGGAAGTCCTAACTCCTAGTGCCCCAGAATATGATCATGTTTGGAGATAGGGCCTTTAAAAAACTAGTTAAGTTAAAAAGAGACCATTTGGGTGAACCCTAATCCAGTTTGACTGCTCTTATAAGAAGGGGAGATTTGGACACACAAAGAGACACTAATGGTGTGTATGCACAGAGCAAGGAGACTGGCTTCAGATCAAACCAATCTGGCCAATGGCTTGATCTTAGACTTCTAGCCTCCAGAATTGTGAGAATATAAATTTAAGACAGTTTGTGGTATTTTATTATGGCAGCCCTAGCAAACCAATACACCTAGGAGATGAATATAGGTGGGAAAAAAGTACTATTATTTTCATAATCTTATAATTGTAATTTAGCATTTCCATCAATTATAAATGTTGGCAACAAACCACAGTAGTATTAACTGTACTATAACTCTCTCACCAATGGAAATCCAGATATTTTCATATCCCATTATGGTTACTGAAAATTCATAGAAACACTGTTTATTCCTCATTTTAAACTACAATAGTTATTAGACTCCAATTTGACTTGTTATTTAATGTGGTAAAGAGGCATATTAATTATTATGTCACAAATTAAATTCTTTTAATATTTTGATAGCTATATTCAGTAAAATTGGTTTCTTTTATAATCCTATACATTTTGTTTTATGCATTAAAAGATTATTTTGCAAATATGTCCATAGGCTCTACCAGGCTGATAGAGGTTAAGAATCTCTGATCTAAGCAGTAATATTTTCATGGAGAAATCAAAACAGTGTCCTGAGAACAAATTCCTCAGGGCAGATGAAAGTCAGTGGGACTTTTTCAACCTATTGTGTAGTATGGTTGACATGGGTAGACCCAGATCCACTCAGACCATGACCAATTATCTTTCCCATTTAGAGAATCCCCCTCACACCCCTTAATTTTTTGTTTTTTCTTTTTTGAGACAGAGTCTTGCTCTGTTACCCTGGCTAGAGTACAGTGGTGTCATCATACCTCACTGCAGCTTCAAAATCCTGGGCTCAAGTAATTCTTCTGCCTCAACCTCCTGAGTAGCTGGGACCACAGGAGCCTGCCACCATGCCTGGCTAATTTTTCTGTTTTTTTGTACAGATGGGTTCTCAGTCTTGCTCAGGCTGGTCTTGAACTCCTGACCTCAAGCGATCTGCCTGCCTCAGCCTCCCAGGGTGCTAAGATTATAGGTGTGAGTCACTGCACCCGCCCCAGCTAGGGTTTTTTTTTTTTTTTGCAAAGATGCAGTCTCACTATGTTGACCAGGTCTTGAACCTCCTAGCCTCAAGTGATCCTCCCACCTTGGCTTCCCAAATTGCTGGGATTACAGGCATGAGTCATGGAACCCAGCCTCTTTGTTTTTTGTTTTTTTTTCAGTGAAAAATTCTTCATATGCTGAAGGCTACTCCAACTTTGTTTTTATTTATTTGGAATCTTTGACTTCCTTTAACACCTTTTTGTTTGATTTTTGCTGTGCTTTTTAAAAAAGTTATATTTTAAATTCACAATGTGATGATTTGAGGCTCAGAGATCTTTGCTCATTTTTCACTGATGGTGACAAAAGAATGACTACAGGTTAAAAAAAAGAATAACAAAGTCCTGTTAAAAAAAAGAGTAACGATGTATAGTTATACTGTATAAAAGAACAAAAAGCCATCTGTAGAATACATTCTGTACGATCTCATTTATGTAATAAACAAAAATAGAATACCTACATAGGTCCACATATGGGTATGTATATACATAGAAAAAGATCTGGAAGGATAGATATCAAACTGTTAACAGTCTTTTGCAGAAGAGAGTACAATTAGAGGAAGGGGGAAGGGGAAAGAAGAGAGTTTTGTTTTTTCTATATATTCTTCTATTTATTGAAGATTATATGATAAGGAATTCATTATTTTTAAAATTAAAATTTAATTTTATAATTTAAAACTTATTCAAAAACTTAAAATACTGGCTGGGCACCGTGGCTCACACCTATAATCATAGCACTCTAGGGGGCCAAGGTGGGAGGATCCCTTGAGATCAGGGGTTCGAGGCCAGCCTGAACAAGAGTGAAATCCTGTCTTTACAAAAAAATAGAAAAAATTAGCTGGGCAACCAAACAACAAAAAAAATAGCTGGGTGTGGTGGCATGCGCCTGTAGCCCCAGCTACTTGGGAGGCTGAGGCAGGAGGATTGCTTCAGCCCAGGAGTTTGAGGTTGCCGTGAGCTAGGCTGATGCCATGGCACTCCAGCCCAGACAACAAAGCAAGACTCTGTCTCAAAAAAATAAAATAAAATAAAAAATAAAAACCTTAAAAACTACAGTTTGATTCTTTTTTAGTCTTTGAATTACAAAACACTGCTAAAAGAGCATTGTCTGTATAATTGATGGTTATAAAACCATATGACTTAGTGCTAGAACTATATTGCATTTAAATCATAGTCTAAACGGGAATTCCAAACTTTAATTATAGTGCTCTTGAACACACATAATGTGACATGGTAGATCTTTAATGAGGCAGGTAGAAGGTATTTGGGAGCAGAGGTCTTTTCCCTGAGGCTGCTGTTTATAGGAATCTTCACCCATGGCAGCGAACAGCTTCCAGCATAAATTCTCAACTCAATTCACTGTAGCTGGAGTGATCTTTGAAAACATAAATCTGATCATGTCACCTCTCTGCCTAAAGCCTTCAATAGCTCCTCACTCCATTAGGATTCAATCCAAGCTCCTTGATGAAGTTTACCTTTTCAATGTCATCTCAAGCAGACTCGTTTCACTCCTTTCCCACTCCAGAATGGCATATAATGTCTCCCCTCTTATTTTGTGACACTACCAGTGGTTGATGCTCAATAGGTTGATCTCTTAATTCATTAGAGACTGCAAAATGGTGACATTCTATATAATTCTTTGTTTATTACATGGAATACTCTTACAAAGAAAAATTCCTCTCATCTATTTGGTCACTCAATGGTACAGTTTCTTTAGAAAACTTACCATTTATTAATTTTGGTTTTCATATTTTAGAGCCATAGACTTTTTTTTTTTTCACATCTCAACATTGTCATAAGCAATGTGTTATAATGCTTAATGGCTAAAACATCTCTGCCTGCAGGGACTGGCAGTAGGAGAAAAAAGAGACAGGGCTAGTGTAGACTTGAAATCTGCACGCCAAGACCCAAGGCGTATATGTCTTCAGCTTTAACCGTGTTTCTCTCTTTTTCCTGCGTAACATGTAAGGTTCTTCTTACAAAAGAAAAAAATAATCCATCAGATCTAAGGACCTTGAAAAGTTTTTGTTTTCTTTGAGGAATTTAATATAAAACATCAATGAATAGTTTGTGTTTTCCCCTTTTGCATTGTGCCCAGTAAGTTGAAAGGCAAAATTTGTTTAATTTTGGAATAATCAGAATTCCTCATCTGCATATCTTCATCTTCCGTACCTGTTCCTGCCTTTTATTCAATTTTACATTTCCATTTGACTATAGACTATATATATTCTAAGCTGGTTAAAATTTTCTACTAGCAAAAAAGGAGTTGATCGAACAAATCATTTGCATAGCCATCAGTTTTCTATGAATGTACCTTTTCCTTGGCACTCTACACACTGCCGTGTGTTATTTGAAAAATCTTTACTAATTAGCTAGAAATAGTTTCTAGTTGGGGTTTCAATTTGTATTTCTAAGATTATTGGTGAGCCTGTTTGTTTGTTTGGGACGTGGCTTATAAAGGGAGTAATTCAGCCAATCTAATTAGGAGACAAATGAAACCCAGAAATGTCTTATTCTTACATTTAAGCTTTGACTCCGCCCCCGGGTCCCCGTCTCCTCTCCCAACCGATCCTTTTGTGTGTGTCAACCGTCAGGGAATGGGATCTTAGTCTGCAAAGGTGGCAGAACACTGTACTGCGCCCAAATGTGTGTATTATGGGCAAATCTTGCGTCTGACAGCAATGTTTATGGGAAAGCGCTCCAGGATCCTAACCTGCCTGCAGTACCAGGAGTCCTTCTGCAGGCGTGGCCTCTCTCGCTCGGCCTTCGATTGGCCCGCCTGGCCCCACTGCGGTTGATGCGAGCGATGAGTGGCTGCTTCTGCCTTTCTCTCCCCCCACTTTTTTTTTTTTAGCCATAGCTATGGTTACCACGTCTCTCTCCGCCTCCCTTCACCTACCAAGAAGACGACCGGCCATTGGCTGGTTGGCCAAGGCGATCAGTCATTGGCCTCTGGTGGGACCGGGCGCTCCCCCTTCCCCTGTCTCCCGGGTCTCTTGAGGAGCCCAGGAAGGAGACTCCGCTGGTGCCGCCGGGTCAGAGACTCCCGGGACCGGGCTGCGGCAGTCGTTAGCTGGTCATGTCGGCTGCACAGGGCTGGGACAGGAACCGCCGGAGGGGCGGAGGCGCCGCCGGCGGTGGTGGTGGAGGTAGCGGGGCCAGCGGGGGCAGTGGGGGCAGCGGGGGTCGGGGGACTGGCCAGCTCAACCGCTTCGTGCAACTCTCCGGGCGGCCGCACCTGCCAGGTGAGTTGTGGGACTGGACACTGACAGCTTTGCGGGCACGGCTTGCCTTTTCTCCCTGCCTTTCTTTTCCTTTGGAGAAGGAAAGGCAGGCCCCAGGCATAGCAGAAAGACTGGGGATCAGAGAAAAGGGAAGGTGTCTTTGAGGTCAGGAAGGAGGGGAACAGGAGCATCACGAAGAAAAGTAATTTTGCTCTGTTGAAAGCTCTGTGCTGAGAGTTGTGTTTTCTTTTCAAAGGAAAGGCTGTTGTCTCTTTGACATTCCCAAATGTTTCGCTTACTCGGTTCCCAAATCTCTTCCCCTTCCTCAGTTTGGTCTTGTAAAAGAAAGACATTGACGCCTACATGTGGGAAATTGTTTCAAAAAGGACGCCAAATTAAGGAGAGAAGAGGGAAGCACATTCCAAGGAGTGATTTTGTAAAATCCACCCCGAGTGTGTAAGAGTTAGGCATTCTGAAACGGGAGGGGGGGGGATGTGTTGACTGGGGAGTGTGTGGGCAAGAGAACCAAGAGGATTAGGGAAAATTAGTTGAATTATTAATATTTTGGAATGTCCAGAGACAGAATGGATAATGGTGTCTAGATTTTAAGGGGAGAAAAAAGAAGAGAAAGAATATACTCAGTGACAAAATTATTGTGTGTCCACCATATAAAAGCAAACAAGGATTGGGAGAATGTACCCAATACAATTGTTTCACATTTTGGCCTACAATACCCTATCCTTGAGTTCAGACGCCTTAAGAAACAAAATCAAATCGAGTCGATATGTATGTGTAGACAATTTTAAAGAGATACATTTGTGTGTAAATATTCAGTTTAGTAAAAGGAAGGTAGGGGGTTAAATAATGCACAGAATGTCAAATGTTATATTGGGCAAGCTGATTTTTACTAAGAAGAGAACTGTCAGGAATGATGTGTTAATGATTCACCATGTTTTTTGTGAATAATGTTGAAGTTGACTTTATCAGTGATATATTTGTTTAGCTGATGAGTTTTGAGAACATGATGAATTGTTTTTTTGATTCGTGTTTATGATGGTGCCTTGTACTTCTAAGTGGTCAAAAATTATTATTATTTGATTAATTTGGAAGTAACAAAGGGAATTTAGCAAATCAGTGAGGCAATTGCTTTAGTTTGTGGTGAGGTTATTGATGTGTGCTAGGAATATACATTAACCTATTTATATGCGCCATTAAAATTAAATTGAGGCATTTGTAAGTAGTCAAATATATAATATACCAAGAGTTGGGTTTGAGATAATATCAGACTGGCCATCCTAGAAATATTTTTAACATGAAGAAGACACAAGGAGAAATCTTTTTTCTTACCCCAAATTAATAACAGAAAGATTTTAGTGTATTGACAGCTTAGAAGATAAATCTCTTAGCAAGGACTATCACCAATTTTTCCTCTGCTACCACAATCTTTAGGTCTTTGATCATGGATTAATTATTATACCATGGGCTCCATGTAGGCATTTTCAGGCTCCTAGAACCTGGGTGGTGCACTTCCCCACTGCTACCACATGATGGCAGTGGAAGCCATGATTTCTGATGAGGGGCTTCGGTGTGGCGTTATCTCTGCATTCCCTTAGCACAAGGCCAAGAGCAGGCATTTGTCCGGAGGTAAAGATAAACGTGTCTAAACTGGGAAAATATTTGAAGTGGGGTCATGAGCCTCTCTTTTCTACTCTCTTTTCCTCTTGACTAATATTTCATACCTTCTTCCCTATGTAGGCATCTCTTTTCCTCACTCTCAAAATTGGGAAACATCTGATATCTCAATATATACTTTGAAATTCTGTCATACCAATTCTTTATTCTTCCAGGTATTGCCTTTTAAGCACTCCTCCTCCCCACCTTTTCTCTCTTGTATTTTGAGAGGTTTAAAAAGATTTTAGGTAATGGAGAGGAATAGGAATGTCTAGTCCCTTTTTATGGCTAACCGTGGAAGTAAAACAATTTTTTTTTTAGTATAAGATGGTTAACTTTTTCTGTCCTTTGACCTCTAATGCCATTTTCCATCTTTCTCTACCAAGACTTCCAGATACTGAGTACCCAGAACTCTTTCTTAGTTTTTGCATCTCTACCCTCCATCCAGCCCCAGATGAAACAAAACAACCTGGTCTTCCTGGAGTGTTCTCTCTCTCATTCAATGATAGCATTATCTTTGTCCATCCAGTTATGCGAACCTGAAATTTGAGCATCCTCCTTAACATTTTTCTCTCCCTTGCACTTTGTGTGTAATCAGTCACCATAAATAAATCAGTATTTGTTTTACTTCTTCCATAACTCTGATCCATGCTACCATCATTCCTCACTTAGGTCTCCTTCAGTAGCTTTCTAAGCACTATTCCTGCTACTCTTTACCTTCCAATTTATATAGCACACTAATCTCTTTTGCAAGCACAGCTCCATTCTCAGCCTTGCTTACAACCCTCAGCTGGCTTTCCATTGCTCTTAGGGTAAGGCAAAAATCCTTCATATGGCCAGGCGCCGTGGCTCATGCCTGTGATCCTAGCACTCTGGGAGGCCGAGACCGGCAGATCCTTTGAGCTCAGGAGTTCCAGACCTGACTGAGCAATAGCAAGACCCCGTCTCTACTAAAAAAAATAGAAAGAAATTAGCTGGAAAACTAGAAAAAAATATATATATATATAATTAGCCAGGCATGGTGGCACGTGCCTATAGTCCCAGCTACTCAGGAGGCTGAGGCAGTAGAATTGCTTGAGCCCAGGAGTTTGAGGTTTCTGTGAGCTAGGCTGACACCACAACACTCTATCCCAAGCAACAGAGTGAGACTCTGTCTCAAAAAAAAAAAAAAAATCCTTAATATGACCTAAAAGGGACCACATGGTTGGTGTCTCTCTAACAGTTAGTCCTGTATTATGTTCTTTTGCTTTTTGATCTTTTCCTACCTCCTTGAATATGTGACATGTCATGCCTCCTCCTGCCCCAGGGTCATTATACATGCTATTCCATCATCCAAGAGCCCTCATACTCTTCGCTCCATTCTCTTAACTCCTCTTCCATTGCATCTCAGCTTGATCACAGTTCAAGCTCAGTTCAGGGAATCCTTCCTTGACCCTTCTGACTATTAAGTCTCTTCTCCCTATACACATCCATAGCATCTTGTGGTTCTCCTTGGGCATACTTATTTGTGTGTGATTCTTTGATATGCATGATTTGATAATCTTGGGATAAATATATATTATATATAGTATATTTACATATATGCGTACGTATACCACACATATACATATCTATTTTAAAATTCTAAATTAATACATTGGCATTATGTGTAAAGACGTTAGTGTCTAGTGCATTTGATTAGTGTGGTTCAATCCCCTTTAGTCCCACTCACTCTGGACAAATAGATAAAATCAAAATCTTAAACATGTAAAGCAGTGAAGTAGACTCTGCTTTCATTGTGACAGCACAAATGATATTTTGTGAAACCTTGTTTGAGCAGCTTGCCTTTCTGCCGTTTTCTACAATATAGTAGTGATTATATGTTTGCCTTGTAGGCCAAGAAATTGGTAGATAGCTTCTTACTCTTGAATTTTTTTACTAACTCATAATCTCTGTACACCCACTAAAGAACAGGGAACTGTTCTTTTTGTAGAATAAGTACACAGAGATAGAGCTCAGGAGCAAGGGAGGCGTGGAGGTAGTGGAATTCAAATTACTGTTGTGATTTAACTGTGTGTATTTGGTTAAATACAATGTATTAGCTGGGAAAATAGCTAAACATTGTTGCGAACATAAGAACATGAACACAAACATAGGAACTGAAAAACTGACAAAGAGGAGGAAAAATGTAACAATCAGTAAAGCTCAGTAAAGGTAATCCTGAAGTCTTAACTTAAAATTTTTAAATAAGTAATATGTGTAAAAATCCAAATGGTACAAAAGAACATATGGTAAAAGGCAATTTTCCTTCTATCTGTGACCCCAACTAATTAGCTTCCTTCCCTAGAAGCAACCAATGATAAATTTCTTGTGTATTTTTTCCAGGCGTGTGGGAGTTGGAGTATTGCTTTGTTTGAATGAGAATTTAAAATGTTTACAGTCTTGCTAATACAGTGATACAATGAATATCCTTATACATATATAATTCGCATATGAGAATGAGCCTGTCTTTAGGATTAATCCCTAGAAGTATAATTTCTGAGTCAAAGGATATATGAGATTTAAACTTTGATAGATACTGTCAAATTGCCCTCTGTAGATGTTGTACCAGTTTATGTTGCACTGTCAGTTTTTATAGTGCTAGCTTCCTTGTTCCCTTGGTAACAGAGTGGGTTATCAACCTTTTTTTAAATTGTCAATTTAATAGGAATATTTTTCTTAAGCATCTTTTCAATAGGTATGAGAGCCATGTTTGCTTCCTTTATCTGTGGTATATTTATGCTTTTTGTTCATTTTTCTTATTTAACTAATTAATTAATGAATTATTTTAGACATGAGCATCTCACTTATTGCCCAGGCTAGCCTTGAACTCCTTGGCTGGGGAGAGCCGCCTCCCTCAGCATCCCGAATATCTGGGACTACAGGCATGCACCACTGCACTGGGCTTGTTCATTTTTGTATTGGGACGATTCATACTATTTATAGGAACTCTGTGCTTTAATGAAATTAGTTTTTAGCCTTTGACATGTTATGGATTTATTTTACACAATTTTTCACTTGTCTTTTGACCTTGTTTAATTTTTTCAGCAGAAATTAAAAATGTTTCGTAATTAAATTTGTCAATCTTTTTCAGAGCTTAGGTTTTGTGTCATAAGAAAGACCTTTCCTATTTCAATTATTTCTAATGAAAATTAAAATAATTATTCTTATTTTTTCACCTGGTAATTTTAAGAATTATATTTTTAAGTTAAAGGCACTTATCCATACAAAATATAAATTGAGTAAAGTATTGAGATGGGAATCCGACTTCTCTTCCAGGTGGTTACCCAGTTATCATAGTATCCTTTATTAAGTAGTCCAACTTTTCCCTA